CCGGATGCCGGGTGTCATTCTCGGTATCTGTCCTTATTCTGTATGTATGGTCTCTGCACAGTCCCCACTTCTCCTGCCCCGGATGCCGGGTGTCATTCTCAGTATCTGTCCTTATTCTGTATGTATGGACTCTGCACAGTCCCACTTCTCCTGCCCCGGATGCCGGGTGTCATTCTCGGTACCTGTCCTTATTCTGTATGTATGGACTCTGCACAGTCCCACTTCTCCTGCCCCATGTGTTTGGGATGACAGATATTTTCCAACACAAAGTTTCATAATATAACGAGTTAATAGATTTCTTCACCATAATAGGGAGGAGAACGGTTTCATATTACACCATTTGTATTCTTCCTGTTCCTTCATAAACTTGGCTCCAGCTCAGGGGAAGAGGAAGACAAACTCCACCAGGAGACATCAGACCACAGAGGAGAGACAGCGGAGAGTGGAGACTCCACCAGGAGACATCAGACCACAGAGGAGAGACAGCAGAGAGTGGAGGGGACTCCGCCAGGAGACATCAGACCACAGAGGAGAGACGGCAGAGAGTGGAGACTCCACCAGGAGACATCAGACCACAGAGGAGAGACAGCAGAGAGTGGAGACTCCACCAGGAGACATCAGACCACAGAGGAGAGACAGCAGAGAGCGGAGGGGACTCCGCCAGGAGACATCAGACCACAGAGGAGAGAGACAGCAGAGAGTGGAGACTCCACCAGGAGACATCAGACCACAGAGGAGAGACGGCAGAGAGCGGAGGGGACTCCGCCAGGAGACATCAGACCACAGAGGAGAGACAGCAGAGAGTGGAGACTCCACCAGGAGACATCAGACCACAGAGGAGAGACTGCAGAGAGCGGAGGAGACTCCACCAGGAGACATCAGACCACAGAGGAGAGACAGCAGAGAACGGAGGAGACTCCGCCAGGAGACATCAGACCACAGAGGAGAGACAGCAGAGAGCGGAGGAGACTCCACCAGGAGACATCAGACCACAGAGGAGAGACAGCAGAGAGCGGAGGGGAGAGGTCATCCCAGTCCATCAGAGAGGTAGGATGGAGCAGATGTTTGAACTCTTCTAGATGTCAGGAGGACACAGGAGGGGTTCATGACCCCCACACTCGGGCACTCAGTATTTTGCAGGTTGGGATGGATGGTGTGGGTGGAGGAATCTAGAAGTCTCTTCTGCTCTGAAGGATCTGTATGACCAGCTTTTGGAATAGAAAACTTTGTCAAAAGATAAAATTAAAAACAAAAAAATAAAATCAAAGTTTAGGAAAAATATCAGAAGGTTCAAAAAGATCCCAACTGAAAGTAGACCGTCATCAGAGGAACCTCCTCCTGCTTTCAAGGTTGTTAAGGAATGTGTGCCACGCCCTTAGCAACAAGTGATGTCACCCAGCCCAACAAACAATGTGTCCCTGAGCCCCCCCCCAATTTATAGAAGGTCCTTCAAGTCTGGTTTACATGTATACGGGGACCCCCATGTTAAAAAACATTGCGTTGAGCGCCCCAAAATTCCATACCAGGCCACTGGGGTCTGGTGTAGATTTTATAGGGGAACCTCACAATAAAAAACAGGGAGAACAGCACCTGGGGTCCTCCCAAAAATCCATACTGAACCCTGATGTGAGCATGCAGCCTGGGTGCAGCCCCCCTCCTTCTCCCATACATGCCCCCTACATGGGGGGTATCTCTCGGGAATCCCTCACAATGCATCTGGTGCCCATGTTGATGAGGACAAGGACCTCTTTCCCACATCCCTGGCCTGGTGGTTGTGTGGAAGAGTGTGTGAGGGGCTTATCTGAATCTGAAAGAACCCTTCAACAATAAGGGGGGCCCCAGAAACTGCCCCACCCAATCTCGTTTACAGGGGAAAAAAACTGAATTAAAAAACACAGACGTCCTTTAAGAAAAATGACCATCCCCCAGAAAAGTCCCAAAATGTAATTTCACCATGTTGTCCGGTGACGTAGATCGAACGTCAGCCACAAAGAACAACTCTCATGAACCCACCAAAAAAAAGCTGATCCGCTCCTGCTGACTGCTCGCCTAGGAATGACAGTTCCAGCAGATGACAGCTGAATGTAAATGCAGGAGAACCTGATCTGGGAGATGTAACTTTATTCGTACTTCACAGAGCAACTCCTTCTGTGTTCATATACACCGAACACAGCTCTAGACTGGACACTGGACTGCTGTACATGACAGCTCCCTTTGTCATTGGTTGTTAGCGAAGCAGCGGGTACCGGCACCCGCTGCATCACCAGCAACCATGACGTCACCCGACTCCACCAGGAATCCTCAGCCATGTAAATAGAGGGGCGGTTCCAGCTTGACATCACTGACCACATGACCATATTTAGGCAAGGACATTGACTTATTTGCTTTATGACCATGGCGATAGTTGGGCGGTGACATCACTGGTTATAAACCCCGCCCCTTTGTTTGCATTAAGCAAACAACATATCATTCATGGCAAGTGTAGCGATGGAATCGTACGTGTCCCTTGGTCACTCATTTCTACACAGGGGGCCGGCAGGGCCAGTACAAGGATTGTCTCTGCACAGGTGAAGGTGCATTTTGGTGTCCCCCACCCCCACCACACTCTCCCCTATCTTACACAATGCAGCCCCCCCCATCCCCACTGTCTACAGCCTTGCTGGTACACCTTCACGTTGCACTCATAATGTGATGGATGTCAACCAGCACTGCAAATGTGAGCTGTGCTGAACTGGCACTAAGTTCCCCCTCTTCAAATCCCCCCCCCCCAGTACAAATCTCCCCCCCAATCCACCTTCCCAGCACAACAAATCCCCCCAAATGTCCTTTTCTTTCAAGCATACTCCCCCCTCCCCCAATCCCTCTTCTAGCAGAGATCTTTCTCCCAGGGTAAATCTTCTCCCCACTTCTAGCAAAAATCCTTATCTCCCCACCCCCATTCCAGCACAACCCCCCATCCCAGCACAATCCCCTCCCCCCATCCCTGCACAACCCCCCCAATCTCAGCACAATCCCCTCCCTCCGTCCCAGCACAAACCCCCTCATCCCAGCACAAACCCCTCTCCCCCCAATCCCAGCACAATCCCCTTCCCCCAATCCCAGCACAACCCCCCCAATCTCAACACAATCCCCTCCCCCATCCCAGCAAACCCCCCCCAATCTCAGCACAATCCTCTCCCCCCATCCCAGCACAAACCCCCTCATCCCAGCACAAATCCCTCTCCCCCAAATCCCAGCACAATCTTCTCCCTCCAATCCCAGCACAACCCCCCCCAATCTCAACACAATCCCCTCCCCCCATCCCAGCACAAACCCCTCTCCCCCCAACCAATCCCAGCACAAACCCCTCTCCCCCCCTTCCAGTACAACCCCCCCAACACAAATCCTCTCCCCTGCTAATACAAATCAATCAATTGTCCCGCTTTTTGTGGGACCTCCCTGAGATAAGAGCAAAATCCCGCAAATCTGAACTAAAGTCCGGTTCACACCAACACGCAGTGCAGAAAACCGTTCCATGTGAGTTTCTCGCACCGCATTCAAAATGCAAAGTTGCAATCTGTATTGGGTGTCAACGTTCACTTAATGACACCCCCAAATGAAGGTTGCAAATGTAATGGCTTTACTTCCACCAGATCGCATGGTATCCGGTTCCTGTAACTCGGTGCGGTCCGGCACAATTTCAGCCCATTCAAATGAATGGGCTGAAATTCCACTGCATCTGGAACGCATGTGAATCGCACAGGAATGCTTAGTGTGTTCCTGTGCAATTCATGGTGTGACCCGACCCTGAGTCCTGGAGCCCGTTGTGTCCCTCCTCCTTCCCGGCTCCTGCTCCTGTCTGTGTATAGGAAGACATCAGAGCCGAGGAGGAGGAGGCTTCACTCCGGTGTGAAAGGCAGCCAGCGAGGACAGGTGCCAGCCGCTATACTGGGCTGAGATCCAGGGCTGTCCTAATGCATGGGCACTGCTGGGTACTGCCCAGGGGCCCCAGGTGCATGGGGGCCCCATGATAATCTTACATTACATCATACTTGCCAACTGTCCTGGATTTGCTGGGAGAGTCACGCTTTTTACTAAACTGTCCTGAGATGGCCCGGGCAGCATTCCAGAACCTGTACTGTGCCCTCCTCATTTCAGTATTGTGCCCTTCTGACCCCCCTGTACTGTGTCCTCCTGATCCCTGTTCTGTGCTCTCCTGATCTCAGTATTGTGCCCTCCTGATCCCAGTGTTGTGCCCTCCTGATCCCCCCTGTATTGTGTCCTCCTGATCCCTGTTCTGTGCTCTCCTGATCCCAGTATTGTGCCCTCCTCATTTCAGTATTGTGCCCTTCTGACCCCCTGTACTGTGCCCTCCTGATCCCTGTTCTGTGCTCTCCTGATCCCTGTACTGTGCCCTCCTGATCCCTGTTCTGTGCTCTCCTGATCCCTGTACTGTGCCCTCCTGATCCCAGTGTTGTGCCCTCCTGATCCCCCCTGTATTGTGTCCTCCTTACTCCCCCTGTATTGTGCCCTCCTGATCCCAGTATTGTGTTCTCCTAACTCCTCCATACTGGGCCCTCCTGATCCCAGTATTGTGCCCTCCTGAGCCCTTTACTGTGCCCTCCTGATCCCTGTACTGTGCCCTCCTGATCCCAGTATTATGCCCTCCTGATCCCAGTATTATGCCCTCCTGATCCCAGTATTGTGTCCTGATGATCCCAGTATTGTGTCCTCCTGACTCCCCCATACTGGGCCCTCCTGATCCCAGTATTGTGCCCTCCTGACTCTCCCTGTGCTGTGCCCTCCTGATCACAGTATTGTGTCCTCCTGATCCCTGTACTGTGCCCTGCTGATCCCAGTATTGTGCCTTCCTGCTTTCCCTGTACTGTGCCCTCCTGATCCCTGTTCTATGCCCTCCTGACTCCCCCTGTACTGTGCCCTTCTGATCCCTGTTCTATGCCCTCCTGACTCCCCCGGTACTATGCCCTCCTGACTTCCGCTGTACTGTGCCCTCCTGATCCCAGTATTGTGCCCTCCTGATCCCAGTGTCGTGCTCTCCTGGTCCCTCTACTGTGCCCTCCTGACTTCCCCTGTACTGTGCCCTCCTGACTCCCCTGTACTGTGCCCTCCTGACTTCCCCTGTACTGTGCCCTCCTGACTCCCCATGTACTGTGCCCTCCTGACTTCCCCTGTACTGTGCCCTCCTGATCCCATTATTGTGCCCTCCTGATCCCAGTATTGTGCTCTCCTGGTCCCAGTATTGTGCCCTCCTGACCCCCCCGTACTGTGCCCTCCTGATCCCAGTACTGTGCCCTCCTGACCCCCCCATACTGTGCCCTCCCGATCCCTGTACTGCGCCCTTCTGACTTCCCCTGTACTGTGCCCTCCTTATCCCAGTATTGTGCCCTCCTGACCTCCCCATACAGTGCACTCCTGATCCCAGTATTCTGCCCTCCTGATCCTGGTATTATGCCCTCCTGATCCCAGTATTGTGCCCTCCTGACCCCCCCATACTGTGCCCTCCCGATCTCAGTACTGTGCCCTCCTGACTCCCCCTGTACTGTGCCCTCCCGATCCCAGTACTGTGCCCTCCTGACTCCCCCTGTACTGTGCCCTCCCGATCCCAGTACTGTGCCCTTCTGACTTCCCCTCTACTGTGCCCTCCTTATCCCAGTATTGTGTCCTCCTGATCCCATTACTGTGCCCTTCTGACCCCCCGTACTGTGCTCTCCTGATCCCAGTATTGTGTCCTCATGATCCCAGTATTGTGCCCTTCAGATCCCCCCCATACTGTGCCCTCCTGATCCCAATATTGTGTCCTCCTGGTCCCAGTACTGTGCCTTCCTGACTCCCCCTGTACTGTGCCCTACTGATCCAAGTATTGTGCCCTTCTGACTCCCCCCGTACTGTGCCCTCCTGATCCCAGTATTGTTTTCTCCTGACCCCCCCCCCACCCTTACTGTGTCCTCCTGATCCCAGTATTGTTCTCCCCTGACCCCCCCCGTACTGTGCCCTCCTGATCCCAGTATTGTGCCCTCCTGATCCCAGTATTGTGTCCTCCTGATCCCAGTATTGTACCCTCCTGACTCCCCCAGTATTGTGCCCTCCTGACTCCCCCAGTATTGTGCCCTCCTGACCCCTCAGTATTGTGTCCTCCTGATTACAATATTATGTCCTCTTGATCCCAGGATTGTGCCCACCTGACTCCCCCAGTATTGTGACCTCCTGACTCCCCCAGTATTGTGCCCTCCTGACTCCCCCAGTATTGTGCCCTCCTGACCCCCCAGTATTGTGTCCTCCTGATTACAATATTATGTCCTCTTGATTCCAGTATTGTGCCCTCCTGATCCCAGGATTGTGCCCACCTGACTCCCCCAGTATTGTGCCCTCCTGACTCCCCCAGTATTGTGGCCTCCTGACTCCCCCAGTATTGTGCCCTCCTGACCCCCCATACTGGGCCCTCTTGACTCCCCCAGTATTGTTCCCTCCTGACTCCCCCATACTGGGCCCTTTGTGTTGATTAGTCTTTGACTTATGGCATGCTTACTTATTGTTTAAAATCAATTCTATTGAAAGTCCTAAGAAATGTATGTTTAATTCTATCCACTATTTATACTTTAATTCTGGAGAGTAGGAGTGTAAATTGGGGCAGATTGGTAGGGGCCCCAGTGTACTACTTTGCCCAGGGGCCCATGATGCTATTAAGATGGCCCTGCTGAGGTCGCAGCGCATGAGACATTAAAAGTAGGGTGGCCACCTCACCCCTTTAAACCCAAACACATACTAATGACACGGGTTCTGGGGCTACTGAAGGTGGTCATCAAACTCACTTGGTGCCTCATCTGAATTCAGTTATCCCCAGAGTCTGGTCGACCAATCAGCTTCCTCCAATAATGAATATGATGAGTGTTGTACTGCGGGTTGGACTGGTCGCCCGTCTCTTGGACTGTAATAAATATTACGGCAAACTTTCTGGAAGAGAACCGAGGTTGCGAAGTACTTGATTACGTTCGACATCCTTTTCCGATTGTAAAACCGTACATTTCACAACGCTGACCTGGTGCCGCGGGTCGTAGAGGCTGATTATCTCCACACATTCCACACACCTGACACCACACCTGACACCACACACCTGACACCACACCTGACACCACACCTGACACCCTCCTGTAAAGTGATCCCAGCACAGAAACCTCATATTATTATTATTATTATTATTATTACTACGAGTTTATATAGCGCCAAAGGGTTTGCTCAGCGCTGTCCAATAGGGGGGACAATACATGGCACAGTACAACAACAACAAACAACGTACGAGGGGTAAGAGGGCCCTACTCTTTCGAGCTTACAATCTAGGTGGGAGGGGGTAAAGGTACAGTAGGAAGTGGCTGAGGGGGATGAAGTGGTGGGAGGAATGAGGGAGGATGGCCGTTAGGTGAGGGTGGGGTAGGCTTCCCTGAAGAGATGGGTTTTGAGGGAGCGCCTGAATGTGAATAGGGAAGGCGACAGTCTGATGGATTGGGGCAGTGAGTTCCAGAGGATGGGGGAGGACCTGGAGAAGTCCTGCAGTCGTGCATGGGAGGAGGAGACCAGGGAGCAGGATAGAAGGAGGTCCTGTGAGGAGCGAAGGGTACGGGTAGGGTGGTACTTGGTGATCAGGTTGGTGAGGTAGTCAGGGGCAGTGTTGTGAACGGCTTTGTAGGTCAGGGTTAGGAGTTTAAATTTGATGCGTTGGGCAATCGGGAGCCAGTGGAGGGAGAGGCAGAGGGGGGTGGCAGAGGTGGAGCGGGTGGTGAGGTGGATGAGTCTGGCAGCTGAGTTCAGGATGGTCTGGAGCGGGGAGAGCCTGCACTTGGGTAGGCCAGTGAGAAGAGAATTACAGTAGTCAAGGCGTGAGATGATGAGGGAGTGTACTAGAAGTTTGGTGGTGTCTGGGGTGAGGAAGGTACGTATCTTGGCAATGTTGCGAAGATGGAGCCTGCATGTGTTTGTGAGTGATTTGACATGCGGTTGGAGGGAGAGGTTTGCGTCAAGAATGACGCCAAGGACTTTGGCTTGCGGGGCGGGAGTGATAGTGGAGTTGTTGGTGATGATGGATAGGATGGGGGGGGGGGTGTTGGCAGGGGGAAAGATGAGGAGCTCGGTTTTGGAGAGGTTGAGCTTGAGGAAATGTAGCGACATCCAGTCTGAGATGTCATTTAGGAGGTGAGTGATGCGGGCAGAGATAGTGGGGGTGAGGAGAGGGGTGGAGAGGTAGATTTGGGTGTCGTCCGCGTAGAGGTGATAGTTGAAGCCGTGAGATTGTATGAGTTTGCCCAGGGAGGAGGTGTAGATGGAGAAGAGAAGGGGTCCAAGGACAGAGCCTTGGGGGACCCCAACAGAGAGGGGGAGGGAGGGGGAGGTGGCACCATTGTAGGTGACACTGAAGGAGCGTCGGGATAGGTAGGATGAGAACCAAGAGAGAGCAGTATCTCCGATGCCAAGGGAGAGTATTTTATTAAGGAGGAGGGGGTGGTCAACTGTGTCGAAGGCCGCAGAGAGGTCCAGGAGAAGGAGGACAGAGTAGTCGCCCTTGGCTTTGGTGCTGAGTAGGTCGTTAGTGATTTTGAGGAGGGCAGTTTCAGTGGAGTGTAGGGGACGGAAGCCGGACTGTAGAGGGTCAAGGAGGTTATTGTCAATAAGGTGGGCGCTTAGGCGATCGTAGACTAAGCGTTCAAGGAGCTTGGAGGTGAGTGGCAGCAGGGAGATGGGTCTGAGGTTGTTGGGGTCTGAGGGATCCAGGGAGGGCTTTTTGAGGATGGGGGTGATATGCGCGTGCTTTAGGGGGGAGGGGAATACGCCAGTAGAGAGGGAGAGATTGAAGATGTGGGTGAGGGAGCGGATGAGGGAAGAGGGGGGTGACCGGAGGAGTTGAGAGGGGATAGGGTCCAGGGGGCAGGTAGTGAGGCGGGCTTTTGTAGAGAAATAACAGAACAATAATAAGATCATACATAGCTCTTCAGGTGGGACGGCTTCCAAAGCATGAAGGACAGCACAGCGGCTAAATGGTTATCACTTCCACCTGGCAGTACTCAGGTTGCGGGTTCAAATCCCAACCACGGCACCACCTGCCTGGAATTTGCATGTTCTCCCTGTGCCTATGTGGGTTTCCTCCAGGTACTCCAGTTTCCTCCCACACTCCGAAGACATGCAGCGAGGTTGACTGGTTCTTGTATAAAACTGGCCACAGTATGTGAATTTAGGGACCTTAGACTGTACGCTCCTCAGGGGTGGGGACTGATGGGAATGTACAATATAAATGTAAAGCGCTGCGTACATTGATGGCGCTATTGAAGGCTCGGGTTGCATTTGATCCATTTTTGTGATGCGTTTTGTTTAAAAAAAAAAATTCTTGTTGCTAGGCGGAATAAACGCATCAAAAACGCACTACATACTTTTCTGCAGCGTCTCCATTAAAGTCTATAGAGGAAAAAATGCAACTTTTTTGTGTTGAATAAAGTCCCCGAGCCTTTCCGAAAAAACTCAGCGGGTGAAAACGCGGAGATGTGAACTTGTCCCATAGGAAATCATGTTAACCCCTTCCCACCGGCGCCTCCCAACCCTTTAGGAGTTTCAGAAGCCGGGAGGCGGGGTGGGGTTTAGGGACATATGACTGCCGTGACGCGCTGTCATGGCGGTCACATGATCGGGAAAGGTCCCGATTGAAAGAGGAGATCGGGACCTTTCCGTGAGTACTGGACATGGTGCACGGCGCGCACTCTCGGCACATATGTCCTTTTTTAATAGAACGCAAACGTGCGGCCGCTCGGCGTCTAGGCCCAGACGCCGGGAGGGCGCACATTTGCGGTCGGCAGGCGTGAAGAGGTTAAATGGACTGCTGTGCTTTGCTGGAAAATGCTTTAGGTGTGAACCTAGACCACCCACATGGGAGAAAAATACATCTGAAATATATTTTAAAAATATTCTTCCCAAATATAATGACATATATTTGAAATGCTACAATTTTGGCCGTATTCAATATATTTAAAAAATATATATATATATATATATTTATTACACACAATGCATGTTGAAATGCTGAAGAAACACGAGGCTGTCAGAGGCAAACCAGAGAAGCAGATTGCAAAAAAAAAAAAAACGGTTTGTTGACTCTCTGTGGTATCTGCATGTTGGAGAGGGTGTGGGCCTGGAAACTGGCCGAGGCTCAGAGTCTAAACACACACCAGATCCTCACCAGAGCACCCAGAAAGGAGATTACCGATGGGTGGACCAGGAGGTGGCCCTCAGTCACAGTTGGCAGCTGGACAGGACTAGAACCAGGATTACCGATGGGTGGACCAGGAGGTGGCCCTCAGCCACAGTTGGCAGCTGGACAGGACTAGAACCAGGATTACCGATGGGTGGACCAGGAGGTGGACCTCAGTCACAGTTGGCAGCTGCACAGGACTAGAACCAGGATTACCGATGGGTGGACCAGGAGGTGGCCCTCAGTCACAGTTGGCAGCTGCACAGGACTAGAACCAGGATTACCGATGGGTGGACCAGGAGGTGGCCCTCAGTCACAGTTGGCAGCTGCACAGGACTAGAACCAGGATTACCGATGGGTGGACCAGGAGGTGGCCCTCAGCCACAGTTGGCAGCTGCACAGGACTAGAACCAGGATTACCGATGGGTGGACCAGGAGGTGGCCCTCAGTCACAGTTGGCAGCTGCACAGGACTAGAACCAGGATTACCGATGGGTGGACCAGGAGGTGGCCCTCAGCCACAGTTGGCAGCTGGACAGGACTAGAACCAGGATTACCGATGGGTGGACCAGGAGGTGGCCCTCAGTCAGAGTTGGCAGCTGCACAGGACTAGAACCAGGATTACCGATGGGTGGACCAGGAGGTGGCCCTCAGCCACAGTTGGCAGCTGGAGAGGACTAGAACCAGGATTACCGATGGGTGGACCAGGAGGTGGCCCTCAGCCACAGTTGGCAGCTGCACAGGACTAGAACCAGGATTACCGACGGATGGACCAGGAGGTGGCCCTCAGCCACAGTTGGCAGCTGCACAGGACTAGAACCAGGATTACCGATGGGTGGACCAGGAGGTGGCCCTCAGCCACAGTTGGCAGCTGGAGAGGACTAGAACCGGGATTACCGATGGGTGGACCAGGAGGTGGCCCTCAGCCACAGTTGGCAGCTGCACAGGACTAGAACCAGGATTACCGATGGGTGGACCAGGAGGTGGCCCTCAGCCACAGTTGGCAGCTGGAGAGGACTAGAACCGGGATTACCGATGGGTGGACCAGGAGGTGGCCCTCAGTCACAGTTGGCAGCTGCACAAGACTAGAACCAGAACATAGTAGACAGCCAACAGGCAGTATCGGGGACAGAGAGAAGGTCGGGGTAGGCCATGGACAAGCTGAAGTCAGTAACCAACCAGGAACACAGATCGGGCAATCCAAGATCACTAGCGAGGCCTCATTAACCCTTTCACTGCTGGGGCCATTTTTTTCTCACACAGACATCAAAATGCGCACTTTTGTTTTTTAAGATTACTTAACCCCTCCTCCAAAAACCGGATATATTTCCTTAAAGCGGAAGGCCAGTAGAGTAAGTAGATATGAAACCTGTTGAGTAAAAAGAAAAGTGTGCGACCGCAAAACGGAGACAAACTGTAAAAGCCCATATCGCCCATAGGTAGCACTTTAGAAATCTTTACAGCTCACCATTTAGAGTTAAAGGAGAACTTCATGACCGCACCCCTCCCCCACTGACTATTTCTTAGTATTTGTTATCCCGTACTTCCTGTGCCAGTAACCACCAGGGCATTGCTGTAATCATACCTTCCTGTGTGTCACCTATACAACTATTCATCTCTATATCTTGCAGGCTACTATGGCTGGATTTCCCATTGCTCCACCCGGACTGGAATATCTTCTTCAGGTGAGATATGTGAAGAGTACCTGTGAGGAGGGCAGATTACACCCCCACACACTGAATTTATGGCAGCAGCTGGTCTGTAGAAGAAATCTTTAATGTGGAACTTCAGCCAGACCTGGATGTGGTGGGATAACATCAGAGCCTCTGTCAGGCTGGATTTTATTTTCGGCTGTAAATCTTGTTAGATTTTTCACCCGGGGGTTATGAAATCCCAATTCTCCCGCTTTCCCACTTCCATGTCCCACCTCTTTTCTACATATACCTATTTCTCCACCCCACTCTCTCATCCCATCGCTCTAGGAACCCATCTACTCAATCCTGATGCCCATCCATCACCCAGACTCCCATCTCATCACCCTTGGCACTCATCTACTCAACCCTGATGCCCATCCATGACCTCAGACACCTATCCCATTTCCCTAGGCACTCATGTACTCAACCCTGACACCCACCCATCATCCCAGACTCCCATCATCCTAGGCTCTCATATACTCAACACTGACACCCCTCCATCACCCCAGACTACAATCCCATCACTTTCATCACCCATCTACTCAACCCTGACACCCCACCATCTCCCAGACTCCCATCACCCTTGGCACTCATCTACTCAACCTGAACACCCACCCAGACTCCCTTCGCTCTAGGCTCTCATATAATCAACACTGAAACCCCTCCATCACCCCAGACTCCCAGCACATCACTTTCATCACCCATCTACTCAACCCTGACACCCATACATCACCCCAGACTCCCATCCCATCACCCTAGGAACCCATCTACTCAACCGTGACATCCATCCATGCATCAGCCCAGCCTCCCATCCCATCACCCTTGGCACTCATCTATTCAACCCAGGCACCCATCTTTCACCCCGGATACCCATCAAATCACCCTTGGCAATCATCTACTCAACCCTGACACCCCTCCATCACCCCAGCCTCCCATCCCATCACCCTTGGTACTCATCTACTCAACCCTGACACCTCTCCATCACCCCAGACATGTATCTCATCACACTCAGCACCCGTCTACTCAACACTGACAGCCATCAGGCACCCTAGAGTCCCATCACACTAGGCACCCATCTACTCAACCCTGACAAACCATCCCATCACCCCAGGCACCTGTCTACTCATCCGAATGTCCCTTTCTCCCAGGGTTCCCTTCAGTGAACCCCTCTATTTGCTCCAGACACTTATTAGACATGGTGGTATTGATGGAGATAAGAGTGTTGGTGTTGGTTATGGTAACCAGGAATATGCTGTTGACTCCCCTTTGCTCTGTTTAACAGGTCAATCAACTCTTCATGAAGGAGACAAGTAAGTTCTGTTTTTTTTTGTTTTTTTGTAACTCAAATATTTTGCCCCTAGTCATTCGTCTTCCACCAATTACTAGGAAGTGTCACCAGTATTTCCTCCTTATGTTCACTGAAATTGTTAGTTTAAAGGAGAGCTTTTCCTGATCCTCCTATTGGCAGAGCTGCTTAGATCTCCAGATAAAACCCATGAACAGTTTTGTCTTAAATGGAACACATTGTGATTTTGTACTTTTTTTATGTATTATGGTCAGAATGATTTTTGTTTCCTTTTTAAACAAGGAATGTTTTATATTCATGGTTTAAATTGTCTTATTCAGCCAGAAGGTGAAGCTCTAGTCCTAATTTCTTACTTGGCTCGTCTCACCAGTAGGATGGATTAATAGAGAAAGACATTTGCTAGAATTGTGTATCTTCAGATATTTGGATTACAGAAAGAGTCAATGTGAATTTACATTGGAGGGGAGATGGATATAAAAACATTTTGTCTGTTTTGCAGAATCTCAGAGACGTTTGACTTTGTGCACTAAACTCTTTTAATTGTGTCATTTCAGGGAGTGGTATTTTCCAAAGCTATAATACGTACGATTTGTTTGGCGTCGATGGCCAACTTGTGTACCAAGCCACTGAGCAGCGGGAGTGTTGTGGTCCTCGCATGGATTGCAGGGTTGCCAACACCCAAGGATATAATGTCCTCAACCTTCTCGTGCCTTTAGAGTGCTGTAGCTGTGACACCAAGGTATGAGACACTGATTAGCCGTACAGTGGGGACCTGTGAAATGAGCCATAACCCTTTACGTAGCATTGATTGTAAGCTCCATGTCTAAGCCCGTTGCTTATATTATTATTATTATTATTATACAGTATTTATAAAGCGCCAATAGTTGGCTCAGCGCTGTACATTACAATGGGGGACAGAACATCTGACAGAACAATACCAATACAATACAATACATGAGGGGATCGAGGGCCCTGCTCTTTGGAGCTTACAATCTAGGAGGGAGGGGATGGTGGCACAGGAGGAGATAGCTGTGGGGGATGGGGTGGTAGGAAGAGTGGAGGAGGTTGGCAAGTTAGAAGGGGGTGGGGTAGGCTTCCCTGAAGAGATGGGTTTTCAGGGTGCGCCTAAAGGAGAGGAGAGTAGGTGATAATCTGATGGGTTGGGGCAGGGAGTTCCAGAGGATGGGTGACACCCTGGAGAAGTCCTGGAGGTGGGCATGGGAGGAGGAGACCAGGGAACTAGAGAGAAGGAGGTCTTGTGAGGAGCGGAGTGTGCATGCTGGGTGGTACTTGGATATTAGGCCAGTGATGTAGTTCGGGGCAGTATGGTGGACAGCTTTGTACGTCAGTGTTAGGATTTTGAATTTGATCCGTTGCGCAATCGGAAGCCAGTGGAGGGATTGGCAGAGGGGGGTGGAGGACACTGAATGGAGGCCAGTAGAGGGATTGGCAGAGGGGGGTGGAGGACACTGAGTGGAGGCCAGTGGAGGGATTGGCAGAGGGGGGTGGAGGACACTGAGTGGAAGCCAGTGGAGGGATTGGCAGAGGGGGGTGGAGGACACAGAGTGGAGGCCAGTGGGGTTCTTGGCAGAGGGGGATGGAGGACACTGAGTGGAGGTCAGTGGAGGGATTGGCAGAGGGGGGTGGCGGACACTGAGTGGAGGCAGGTGGAGGGCTTGGCAGAGGGGGATGGAGGACACTGAGTGGAGGTCAGTGGAGGGATTGGCAGAGGGGGGTGGCGGAAACGGAGCGGTTGGAAAGGTGAATGAGTCCAGCAGCCGTATTCAGGATGGACTGAAGCGGGGATAGCCAGCGGCGAGGCAGGCCAGTGAGGAGGGAGTTGCAGTAGTCGAGTCGTGATATGATGAGGGGTGGATGAGCTGTTTAGTGGTTTCTGGGGTTAGGAACGTGCGGATTTTGGCGATATTGCGGAGGTGGAGTCTGCATGAGTTAGTTAAAGATTGGACTTGGGGCTGGAAGGATAGGATAGCTTATATGCTACAACCCTCTAATAACATATAAAACATGGACCTCCAGGATTCCTTCATCTGCTGGAACAGGAATATGGTGAGGAGGCCCTTGTCCCCAACAACAAGGTGCCTTGTTACAAGCCTTTGCTGCCTCCCCACTTCTTCCTGGCCAGGTATCTTTCCAATGTTAAGGGCATGTGACCAGGTGTGGTACCAGAGGGAGGGGGCACACAATCACTATCCCCCTTTTCTGGCCAGCAGGAAGTAAGCCTAGATAAAGGACTCATTGATTTTTAAGGGGGATCCCACAAGTTTGTATTTTTGTATGTGTGTGTTCTCGGTCCCCATTAAAAAATTCATACCTGACCCATATTTATGATAATGGCATGGTATGGATTTTGAGGACCCGTGCCTTTCTTATTTTAGTTTGCAGGGCATATTGCCAGGTACGTTTTACAAGGGTAGGGGGGGGCAGCATGCTTGTTTCCCCCCTTTTCCTGGGCACCAAGGCTATATGCCTTTATAAGGGTATGGATTTTGATTCAAGGCATGGCCCTCTAGGACTGGTGAGATACAGGACATGGACCTCTAGGACTGGTGAGATACAAGATATGGCCCTCTAGAACTGGTGCGATACAAGACACCACCCTCTAGGAATGGTGAGATACAAGACATGGCCCTCTAGAACTGGTGAGATACAAGATACCACCCTCTAGGAGTGGTGAGATACAAGACATGGCCCTCTAGGACTGGCAAGATACAAGACATTGCACTCTAGGTCTGGTGAGATGCAAGACATGGCCCTCTAGGACTGGTGATATATAAGACATGGCCCTCTAGATCTGGTGAGATACAAGACATCACTCTCTAGGACTGGAGAGAAACAGAAATATCCCTCTAGGACTGGACAGATACAAGACATGGTTTTCTAGGTCTGGTGAGATACAAGACATGGCCCTCTAGGTCTGGTGAGATACAAGACATGGCCCTCTAGGTCTGGTGAGATACCAGACATGGCCCTCTAGGTCTGGTGAGATACCAGACATGGCCCTCTAGGTCTGGTGAGATACCAGACATGGCCCTCTAGGACTTGTGAGATACAAGACATGACCCTCTAGGACTGGTGAGATACAAGACATGACCCTCTAGGACTGGTGAGATACAAGACATGGCCCTCTAGGTCTGGTGAGATACCAGACATGGCCCTCTAGGTCTGGTGAGATACCAGACATGGCCCTCTAGGACTGGTGAGATACCAGACATGGCCCTCTAGGTCTGGTGAGATACCAGACATGGCCCTCTAGGTCTGGTGAGATACCAGACATGGCCCTCTAGGACTGGTGAGATACAAGACATGGCCCTCTAGGACTGGTGAGATACAAGACATGACCCTCTAGGACTGGTGAGATAGAAGACATGGCCCTCTAGGTTGGGAAGATACAAGACCTGGTCCTCTAGGACTGGTGAGATACAAGACCTGGTCCTCTAGGACTGGTGAGATACAAGACATGGTCCTCTAGGACTGGTGAGATACAAGACATGGTCCTCTAGGACTGGTGAGATACAAGACATGGTCCTCTAGGACTGATGAGATACAAGACATGACCCTCTAAGACTGCTGAGATACAAGACATGGCATTCTAGGACTGGTGAGATACAAGACATGACCCTCTAGAGCTGTTGAGATACAAGACCCGACCCTCTAGGTTGGGAAGATACAAGATATGGCCCTCTTGGTCTAGTGAGAAACAAGACATAGCCCTCTAGGTCTGATGAGATACAAGACATGGCCCTCTAGGTTGGGAAGATACAAGACATGGGTCTCTAGGACTGGTGAGATACAAGACCTGGTCCTCTAAGACTGATTATATATAAGACATGACCTTCTACAACAAATTTCCAGGGTCTTGGGGAACACAAAATATTTACTTCTTAGACTTGTGAGATTCAAGACATGATCTTATACAACTGGTGTTATATAGGTACAATCCTCTAGGACTAGTTGGATACGATGTACAGTTATCTAGTTGGATGACCTTCAACAGCTGGTGAAATAAGACCCAAAACACAAAAGCTGTGATGAAAAAAGCTTTGGTCTTCTAAGACTGGTTAGATGTAAGGTACAAACCTATAGGGCTGGGTATAGTAAAGCCATGGACCTCTAGGGCTGATAGGAGAGAACAAATAGATTCTAGTAGTGGTGACGTACAAGACACAGGCCTCTAGGATGGTATGAAAGAATGTATGGATTTTAGAACTGGTGACGTACAAGACATAGGCCTCTAGGGCTGTTGTGATAGAACATACGGTCCTCTAAGACTGGTGAGGACAAATGCACAGCTTTGTGGACTATAGGGACTGATTGAATAAAAAACCATGGTCATCTAGGTGGAGCTGGTTACAAGATGTGGTCCATTAAAGCTGATTGGAAATGAGATATGTTCCTTTTCCTTTAGGACTGGTAATTAATGACAAGTAACGGACCCAGATAAACCTACTGGACAGTCCAAGTACAGTTCTGGATATGATGACCAAGCTCATTAGACAACCCCTTGTGACAATTATTTTTTATTATAGTTGCAGGTCTCCAGTTCCTCCGGGGAGCTCCTCGGCTACATAGTCCAAGAGTGGACAAGTTTTACCTTGAGCTTCGACATCTTGGATCCATCGGGACTTGTTTGTCTTAAAGTGAAAGGTCCAGGATGGGGGGAAGGCTTTATGTCTGACCTCAATTATAAGGTCAGTCTATCGTAAAGTGTCAAATGCTTTTTTTTTTTAGAAATAATAATTGCAGGAAATGTCATCTGGTTGTGGCGGCTGAGATGTGACTACCTGCCATGCCCCCTGCCCACTGTGGCATTCTGCCATTTTGTTTTTGCAGTCTTATTTTTTAACAGCAATTGTGACCACAGCTAGAAAGTCAAGAACAAGCCAATTGTTCTTGAAATGTTATAGCGCGAGGTGGCAATCAAGAGCAGCTAGTGAGCATGAGTGGTTGTGCAAGAGCTCTCTCTGATGCATTAATAGAGCAATCAGTAAACTCATGTAGTCTGTGAACTGCATTTCAAGAATGGGCTGGAAGATGTTGGCTGTGGTGTGCAGATCTCTGCAGAGAATATGCGATCTACTCTCCATTGTAAATGGGAATCTAAGAGATTCTACGCCCTGTAGTCTTCAGTGAGTGTCTCCAAGCATCTGGCCGAATAACATCATTACCACCTGGTTCTGGCTAACGAGAGACTATATAACTCCACCCAGCCTTGCTGCCAGTGCCTTAGCATTTAACTTGAGTTCCTCACCTGTCCCCCCACCCACTCTGGACACTTATTACCTCTTACCCCATCTATTGTATTCCAGTCTGTCCCTGTTCCTCATTTGGTCCTGCTTCCTTGTTTGTCCAAATCATTGTAAGTACTGTATATTAAATGGTCAGTTATACATGGACTCCCTCCACGTGATGGAGTTCCGGTGTATCCAGTCAAGGGTCCTGTTAATACTCCATCATACAAAGACATTGTAGACAATTTTGCTCATCCAACCTTGTGACAACAGTTTGGTGAAGAACCTTTTCTGTTCTACCATGACTTTACCCCTGTGTACAAAGCCAGCTCCATAAAGACATGGATGATCAGTTTGGTGTGGAGAAACTTGAGTTTCCTGCAGAGAGGCCTGAACTCAACCCTGCTGAACACCTTTTGGGATAAATTGGAACATCGATGGTAAGCCAGATCTTCTCATCCAACATCAGCACCTGACCACACAAATGCTCTTTTGGATGACCAGCATTCTAGCCCTACTAAAACTCACTAATGACCTACTAACTTCTAAAACCAATGGCCATTACTCCATACTCATCCCAACCAATGGTCATTACTCCATACTCATCCCAACCAATGGCCACTACTCCGTACTCATCCCAACCAATGGTCATTACTCCATACTCATCCCAACCAATGGCCATTACTCCATACTCATCCCAACCAATGGTCATTACTCCATACTCATCCCAACCAATGGCCATTACTCCATACTCAAACTCCGAGACCTTTCCACTGCTTGTGACACAGTCGATCACCCGCACCTCCTCAGTAAACTCCACTCCCTTAACCTCCATGACTCTGCTCTCTCCTGCTTCTCCTCTTACCTTTCTCAGCTCACTTTCAGCATCACATACAACAGTAACTCCTCTTCCTCTTTCTGTTGAGGTACCCCAAGGCTCCGTGCTTGGGCCCCTCCTTTTCTCTATTTCTACATCTTCTCCCTGGGCCAGTTGATCACCTCTCATGGCTTCCAATGCCACCTCTATGCTGACAACACCCAGATCTATCTCTCCACTCCCCGTCTCACCCCCTCAATCTCCTCACGTGTCACAAATCTACTAAGCGACATATCAGTATGGATGCCACACCAATCCCTTAAACTCAATCTGTCTAAAACTGAGCTGTAATATTTCCTCCTCCCTGATCCCCCACTCGTGATTTTACCATAAAAACCAACAGCACAACCATTGGCTCTTCCCCTCATACCAGGGTGCTCAGTGTATTCCTAGACTCTGACCTCTCCTTGGGGCCCCAAATCCAATAACTGGCTAAATCCTGCTGCCTCAACCTCTGGAACATTTCCAAAATCCACCCCTTCCTGACCAATGACAGCACAAAACAACTTAGACAATTGTGTTCTTCCAACCTTGTGGTAACAGTTTGGTGAAGACCCTTTTCTCTTCCACCATGACTTTACTCCCGTGTACAAAGCCAGCTCCATAAAGACATGAATCGCTAGTTTGCTGTGGAGGAACTTGTGTCCTGCACAGAGCCCTGACCTCAACCCTATTGAACACCTTTGGGATACATTGGAACATCAATAGTGAGGCAGATCTTCTAATTCAACATTATGGCCTTTGTGATGAGAGTCACTTTGGGTGGGGGTCCCATGGAACACAGCTCACTTTAGAGATGTGGGGAGACCCCTGTCTCAGCTCCCCATATCCCTCTTATGTGTAAGTCACCCTGTGCCTGTTAGGGGTACAGGGTGATCTATCCTAATATTGTGTAGACATTTCTAGGAGATAGGTGGGGTGGGGGGTTGTGGATTGTTTGGTATTATGTGGTTGCATCCAATTGTTGTGTGTCTTGCTTGGGAGCAAACTATTATGGGATGTATGTGTTTGTGTATTAGCTTAGTGCGTGTGTGGGGTTGTCTCCAGCAGCCCTCCCTCCTGATGCGACTGTCTGCTGGAGTGAAGTTTGAATACCTGTGTGTCTCTTGTTACTACATGTAGATTGCCCCGCCCTGTGTCATTATGCAGGGAGGGGGGATTGCCCCACCCTGTGTCATTATGCAGGGAGGGGGGATTGTCCCCTGAGTGTATATATCTTGTATCTGTGTTCAAAAAAACTAGTCTACTTTCTGGCTTACTTCAAATCTGTGGTGTCTGTGGTCGGTGTTCGCGACGGGGGAAGCGGTATTCTAACAGAAGTACTCAGCGCAGGCTGGGACAGTTCCGTTGCAACCTTACATCACCAATGAGCATAAATTCCCACAGACGCCCTCCAAAATCTTGTGGAAAGTCTTCCCAGAAGAGTGGAGGGTGTTAATAGCCTCAAAAAAAGGGGGCCACTCTATACTAACGGCCAGACTCATCCACCTCACCAACCGCTCCACATCTGCCACCCCCCTCTGCCTATCCCTCCACTGGCTCCCGATTTCCCAACGCATCAAATTCAAACTACTAACCCTGACCTACAAAGCCATTCACAACACTGCCCCTAACTACCTCACCAACCTGATTCTCAAGTACCACCCTACCCGTACCCTTCGCTCTTCACAGGACCTCCTTCTATCTTGGTCCCTGGTCTCCTCCTCCCACGCACGACTGCAAGACTTCTACAGGTCCTCTCCCATCCTCTGGAACTCGCTACCCCAATCCATCAGACTGTCACCTTCCCTCCTCACCTTCAGGCGCTCCCTGAAAACCCACCTCTTCAGGGAAGCCTACCCCACCCTCACCTAACAGCTGTTCTCCTTCATTCCTCCTACCACTCCATCCCCCAAAGCCATTTCCTCCTGTACTACTACCCCCTCCCTCCTAGATTGTAAGCTCCAAAGAGTAGGGCCCTCTAACCCCTCGTGTATTGTTGTTGTTGCTGTACTGTTTCATGTATTGTCCCCCCCCCTCTATTGTACAGCGCTGAGCAAACCCTTTGGCGCTATATAAACTCCATGTAATAATAATAATACTAATGGCCATATGGGGGAGGGGGGTGACTCCAAATAAATGGCCATGGTTTTGGAATGGGACAAGCTCATATAGGTGTGACGGTCAGGGGACCATGAGCATTTGGCTGGATAGTAAAGTGATATAAAACTGTCAGAATGCATTGTGGAATCCTCTGTGGGGTTCACCATTCTGCTCACCTCTGAGTCGGCAGGGTTTCAACATTTGGTATCCTCAGCCGCTCAATCGCTGAGTCAGGAAAATGTTAGTGTGACGGGAGTGACTTTTGGGGGTGGGGGGACCGCTTGGTCAGCTCATGTCCCCCTCATTATGTTTAACCCACCCTGTGCCTGTTAAGGGGTACAGGGTGTGAATGTGAATGTCCCAGTATTGTGTATAGTGTGTGTTCCTTTGTCACTGCCATGTGCTCCCCCCCATGGTGCTGTGTCTTCCTGTCCAGCGAACTATTATGGGATGTACTGTTTGTGTATTGGTGTGGGGGTTGGTCAATGTCCTTTGCCACATGGCTGCATCCCATTGTTCTGTGTCTGGTTGGATGGGGAGGGGTGATGAGGTGTTTCCTGCCTATACTGTAGCCCTTCCCACTGAGAGGGTGGGCTGATGATGTATTTCCTGTTCCTGGTTGTGTTTCCCCGCCCTCTGTATAAAACATGTTGTTTGTGTAAAATAAAGGTAGTTGGCTTCCTGTTTTAGTAAGAGCTGGGTGTTGTCTATTTTCCTGAGGGATTTCAAGGGTGTGGTCCGTGGATGGTGTTCGGACAGGGGAAGTTGTGCTATAACGGAAAAACTCAGTGCGGTCTGGGTTCCGGTTCCGTTACAGTTAGGAAATCCAAATTTGTGAGTTTTCATTAGAACAGGAATAGAGGGGAAATATCACAAAATGAAAGGTTTAGCACCCATTGGCTTGAACCTTCTCCAACCCTACAATGTCCTTGGTGGCCTATGAAGGGAAGTCGAAGGGAGTATGGAGTGCTAAGGAGGAAACAGGACTCATGGAGACTCCTCTGAGATGTTTAGAGAGGAGAGATTGTCATATTGAGGGAGGGGTTCCATAACACCGAACCGGAACATTCTGAGGTATAAGAATCCTTTACAGGAAGTTCCACACTCCAACCCTACAATGTCCTTGGTGGCCTGTGAAGGGAAGTCGAAGGGAGTATGGAGTGCTAAGGAGGAAACAAGAGGACTCATGGAGACTCCTCTGAGATGTTTAGAGAAGAGAGATAATTGTCCAATTGAGGGAGGGGTTCCATAACACCGAACCGGAACATTCTGAGGTATAAGAATCCTTTACAGGAAGTTCCACACTTTCCATTAGAAACACATTCAGGAATATCTGCAGTATTCATCGGGAAGAGGAACTATAATATTTCAGCCTATAAAATGTAAAAGTGTCATGTCCTCTCCTCATGATTGATGATCTCCATGTGGACTCTCCAGTGGTCATTGTGATCCCCTCTCTTCTTCCTCCAGATTCTATCTGCTGACAAAACAACACAAATCGGGGTCATCACACGTGTGTGGCGGGGGGGTTTAAAAAAGAGATGTTCAGCTTCAAAGACAACTATACAATCAATTTCCCCACGGACCTCCATGTCTCCATGAAAGCCATGATAATGGCCTCCACCCTCTTCATTGTGAGTCTGAGAACCCTGCAATGTGTGAGGATGGAGAGGACACTGCGATGTGTGAGGATGGAGGGAACACTGCGATGTGTGAGGGTGGAGGGAACGCTGCAATGTGTGAGGATGGAGGGAACGCTGCAATGTGTGAGGATGGAGGGAACGCTGCAATGTGTGAGGATGGAGAGGACACTGCGATGTGTGAGGATGGAGGGAACGCTGCAATGTGTGAGGATGGAGGGAACGCTGCAATGTGTGAGGATGGAGGGAACGCTGCAATGTGTGAGGGTGGAGGGAACGCTGCAATGTGTGAGGGTGGAGAGAACGCTGCAATGTGTGAGGGTGGAGGGAACGCTGCAATGTGTGAGGATGGAGGGAACGCTGCAATGTGTGAGGATGGAGGGAACGCTGCAATGTGTGAGGATGGAGGGAACGCTGCAATGTGTGAGGATGGAGGGAACGCTGCAATGTGTGAGGATGGAGGGAACGCTGCAATGTGTGAGGATGGAGGGAACGCTGCAATGTGTGAGGATGGAGGGAACACTGCAATGTGTGAGGATGGAGGGAACGCTGCAATGTGTGAGGATGGAGGGAACACTGCAATGTGTGAGGGTGGAGGGAACGCTGCAATGTGTGAGGGTGGAGGGAACGCTGCAATGTGTGAGGGTGGAGGGAACGCTGCAATGTGTGAGGGTGGAGAGAACGCTGCAATGTGTGAGGGTGGAGGGAACGCTGCAAATGTGTGAGGATGGAGGGAACGCTGCAATGTGTGAGGATGGAGGGGACGCTGCAATGTGTGAGGATGGAGGGGACGCTGCAATGTGTGAGGATGGAGAGGACGCTGCAATGTGTGAGGATGGAGGGGACGCTGCAATGTGTGAGGATGGAGGGGACGCTGCAATGTGTGAGGATGGAGGGAACGCTGCAATGTGTGAGGATGGAGAGGACGCTGCAATGTGTGAGGATGGAGGGAACGCTGCAATGTGTGAGGATGGAGGGGACGCTGCAATGTGTGAGGATGGAGGGAACGCTGCAATGTGTGAGGATGGAGGGGACGCTGCAATGTGTGAGGATGGAGGGAACGCTGCAATGTGTGAGGATGGAGGGGACGCTGCAATGTGTGAGGATGGAGGGAACGCTGCAATGTGTGAGGATGGAGGGAACGCTGCAATGTGTGAGGATGGAGGGGACGCTGCAATGTGTGAGGATGGAGGGAACGCTGCAATGTGTGAGGATGGAGAGGACGCTGCAATGTGTGAGGATGGAGGGAACGCTGCAATGTGTGAGGATGGAGGGGACGCTGCAATGTGTGAGGATGGAGGGAACGCTGCAATGTGTGAGGATGGAGGGAACACTGCAATGTGTGAGGGTGGAGGGAACGCTGCAATGTGTGATAATCTGTAATGAATCCTCATCCCTTCTTCATGTCCTCTGTACACTTCCCGTGTTACCTGTCCCGTGTCCTCTGTACACTTCCCGTGTTATCTGTCCCGTGTCCTCTGTACACTTTCCGTGTTACCTATCCCGTGTTCTCTGTACACTTCCCGTGTTATCTGTCCCGTGTCCTCTGTACACTTCCCGTGTTATCTGTCCCGTGTCCTCTGTACACTTCCCGTGTTATCTGTCCCGTGTCCTCTGTACACTTCCCGTGTTACCAGTCCCGTGTCCTCTGTACACTTACTGTGTTATCTGTCCCGTGTCCTCTGTACACTTCCCGTGTTACCTGTCCTGTGTCCTCTGTACACTTCCCGTGTTATCTGTCCCGTGTCCTCTGTACACTTACTGTGTTATCTGTCTCATGGAACATTTATTTGGCGTGACGGATCTCCTCTGTTTCTTTCAGGACCTCCTGATTGAAGAGCGCAGGCGCCAACAGTCCAACAGTGCGAGCAGCAACTGAGTAGAGGATATTGCAGCCAATCCGTGGACTTGTTTCTTATAAAGGATCATACGTGTTCTATATATGACATCCATCGAATGAACGTGCTGTATGAAGATCCTCTGATTTTCATTTTCTTACAAAAAAGCCTACAAGGGAAAATGGGGACGAGGCCAATTTTTTTATAGAAGATAAATATATATAAATACACTATATTGCCCCAAGTATCGGGCGGCCAGCCTTTCCACACACATGACCTTTAATGGCCCCCAGTCTTAGTTCGTAGGGTTCAATATTGAGTTGGCCCCGCCCTTCCCACACACATGACCTTTAATGGCCCCCCAGTCTTAGTCTGTAGGGTTCAATATTGAGTTGGCCCCGCCCTTCCCACACACATGACCTTTAATGGCCCTCCAGTCTTAGTCCGTAGGGTTCAATATTGAGTTGGCCCCGCCCTTTCCACGCATATGACCTTTAATGGCCCCCCAGTCTTAGTCCGTAGGGTTCAATATTGAGTTGGCCCCGCCCTTCCCACACACATGACCTTTAATGGCCCCCCAGTCTTAGTCTGTAGGGTTCAATATTGAGTTGGCCCCGCCCTTTCCACACACATGACCTTTAATGGCCTTCCAGTCTTAGTCTGTAGGGTTCAATATTGAGTTGGCCCCGCCCTTTCCACACACATGACCTTTAATGGCCTTCCAGTCTTAGTCTGTAGGGTTCAATATTGAGTTGGCCCCGCCCTTTCCACGCACATGACCTTTAATGGCCCCCCAGTCTTAGTCCGTAGGGTTCAATATTGAGTTGGCCCCGCCCTTCCCACACACATGACCTTTAATGGCCCCCCAGTCTTAGTCTGTAGGGTTCAATATTGAGTTGGCCCCGCCCTTTCCAGACACATGACATTTAATGGCCCCCCAGTCTTAGTCTGTAGGGTTCAATATTGAGTTGGCCCCGCCCTTTCCACACACATGACCTTTAATGGCCTTCCAGTCTTAGTCTGTAGGGTTCAATATTGAGTTGGCCCCGCCCTTCCCACACACATGACCTTTAATGGCCCCCCAGTCATAGTCTGTAGGGTTCAATATTGAGTTGGCCCCGCCCTTTCCACACACATGACCTTTAATGGCCTTCCAGTCTTAGTCCGTAGGGTTCAATATTGAGTTGGCCCCGCCCTTTCCCCACACATGACCTTTAATGGCCCCCCAGTCTTAGTCCGTAGGGTTCAATATTGAGTTGGCCCCGCCCTTCCCACACACATGACCTTATAATGGCCCCCCAGTCTTAGTCCGTAGGGTTCAATATTGAGTTGGCCCCACCCTTTCCAGACACATGACCTTTAATGGCCCCCCAGTCTTAGTCCGTAGGGTTCAATATTGAGTTGGCCCCGCCCTTTCCACACACATGACCTTTAATGGCCTTCCAGTCTTAGTCTGTAGGGTTCAATATTGAGTTGGCCCCGCCCTTCCCACACACATGACCTTTAATGGCCCCCCAGTCTTAGTCTGTAGGGTTCAATATTGAGTTGGCCCCGCCCTTCTTACACACATGACCTTTAATGGCCCCCCAGTCTTAGTCTGTAGGGTTCAATATTGAGTTGGCCCCGCCCTTCCCACACACATGACCTTTAATGGCCCCCCAGTCTTAGTCTGTAGGGTTCAATATTGAGTTGGCCCCGCCCTTCCCACACACATGACCTTTAATGGCCCCCCAGTCTTAGTCTGTAGGGTTCAATATTGAGTTGGCCCCACCCTTTCCACGCACATGACCTTTAATGGGCCCCAGTCTTAGTCCGTAGGGTTCAATATTGAGTTGGCCCCGCCCTTTGCAGCTATAACAGCTTCAACTCTTCTGGGAAGGCCGTCCACAAGGTTTAGGAGGGTGTCTATGGGAAGGTTGGACCATTCTTCCAGAAGCACATTTGTCAGGTCAGGCACTGATGTCGGGGGAGGAGCACTGATGTCGGGGGAGGGGCCTGGCTCGCAGTCTCCGCTCTAATTCATCCCAAAGGTGTTCTATGGGGTTGAGGTCAGGACTCTGTGCAGGACAGTCAAGTTCCTCCACCCCAAACTGGCTCCTCCATGTCTTTATGGACCTTGCTTTGTGCACTGGTGCGCAGTCATGTTGGAACAGGAAGGGGCCATCCCCAAACTCCTCCCACAAAGTTGGGAGCATGAAATCGTCCAAAATGTTGTCTTAAGTGTTTCCTTCACTGGAACTATGGGGCCAAGCCAACCCCTGAGGAACAACCCCACACCATAATCCCCCCTCCACCAAACTTTACACTTGGCACAATGCAGTCCAGCAAGTACCGTTCTCCTGTCCACCACCAAACCCAGACACGTCCATTGGATTGCCAGACAGAGAAGCGTGATTGGTCACTCCAGAGAACACATCTCCACTGCTCTAGAGTCCAGTGGAGGCGTGCTTTACACCACAGCATCCGACGCTTTGCATTGCACTTGGTGATGGAAGGCTTGGATGCAGCTGCTCGGCCATGGAAACCCATTCCATGAAGCTCTCTACGCACTGTTGTTGGGCTCATCTGAAGGCCACACCAAGTTTGGAGGTCTTTAGCTATTGACTCTGCAGACAGTTGGTGACTTCTGCGCACTGTGCGCTTCAGCATGCGCTGACCCCGCCCTGTCATGTGACGTGGCCTACCACTTGGTGGCTGAGTGGCTGTTGTTCCCAGTGGCTTCCACTTTGTTATAATCCCACTAACAGTTGAGCGTGGAATATTTAGTAGCCAGGAAATGTCACGGATGGACTTATTGCCCAGGTGGCCACCTATCACGGGACCACGCTTGGAGTCACTGAGCTCCTGAGAGCGACCCATTCTTTCACCAATGTTTGTAGAAGCCGTCTGCATGCCTAGGGGCTTGATTGTATACACCTGTGTCCATGAAGGGGATTGGAACACCTGAATCACATGATATGGAGGGGATTGGAACACCTGAATCACATGATATGGAGGGGATTGGGACACCTGAATCACATGATATGGAGGGGATTGGAACGCCTGAATCACATGATATGGAGGGGATTGGAAAACCTGAGTCACATGTTATGGAGGGGATTGGAACACCTGAGTCACATGATATGGAGGGGATTGGAACACCTGAATCACATGATATGGAGGGGATTGGAAAACCTGAGTCACATGTTATGGAGGAGATTGGAACACCTGAATCACATGATATGGAGGGGATTGGAACACCTGAATCACATGATATGGAGGGGATTGGAAAACCTGAGTCACATGTTATGGAGGGGATTGGAGCACCTGAATCACATGATATGGAGGGGATTGGAACACCTGAATCACATGATATGGAGGGGACTGGAACACCGGAATCACATGATATGGAGGGGATGGGAACACCTGAATCACATGATATGGAGGGGATTGGAACACCTGAATCACATGATATGGAGGGGATTGGAACACCTGAATCACATGATATGGAGGGGATTGGAACACCTGAATCACATGATTGGGAGGGGATTGGAACACCTGAATCACATGATATGGAGGGGATTGGAACACCTGAATCACATGATATGGAGGGGATTGGAACACCTGAATCACATGATATGGAGGGGATTGGAACACCTGAATCACATGATTGGGAGGGGATTGGAACACCTGAATCACATGATATGGAGGGGATTGGAACACCTGAATCACATGATTGGGAGGGGATTGGAACACCTGAATCACATGATTGGGAGGGCGGGGACAATACTTTTGGCAATATAGTGTATATATGTATATCATGGAAAAGGACCCTCAGAGCTCTGTATCTTAGCTAAAGAGACCACACAGTACAACTGTTTTGAGACTGCTGTGATAAGGGAGGTGTCACTGATGTGATGAGGGCGGAGTCAGTGCTGTAATAAGGGTGGAGTTAGTGTTGTGATAAGAGAGAAGTCAGTGCTGTGATAAGGGCGGAGTCAGTGCTGTGATAAGGGCGGAGTCAGTGCTGTGATAAGGGCGGAGTCAGTGTTGTGATAAGGGAGGAGTCACTGATGTGATAAGGGAGGAGTCACTGATGTGATAAGGGCGGAGTCAGTGCTGTGATAAGGGAGGAGTCACTGGTGTGTTAAGGGCGTAGCCAGTGCTGTGATAAGGGAGGTGTCACTGATGTGATAAGGGCGGAGTCAGTGCTGTGATAAGGGCGGAGTCAGTGCTGTGATAAGGGAGGAGTCACTGATGTGATAAGGGCGGAGTCAGTGCTGTGATAAGGGAGGTGTCACTGATGTGATAAGGGCAGAGAGTCAGTGCTGTGATAAGGGTGGTGTCACTGATGTGATAAGGGCGGAGTCAGTGCTGTGATAAGGGAGGTGTCACTGATGTGATAAGGGCGGAGTCAGTGCTGTGATAAGGGAGGTGTCACTGATGTGATAAGGGCGGAGTCAGTGCTGTGATAAGGGAGGTGTCACTGATGTGATAAGGGTGGAGTCAGTGCTGTGATAAGGGAGGAGTCACTGATGTGATAAGGGAGGTGTCACTGATGTGATAAGGGAGGTGTCACTGGTGTGTTAAGGGCGGAGTCAGTGCTGTGATAAGGGAGGTGTCACTGATGTGATAAGGGTGGAGTCAGTGCTGTGATAAGGGAGGTGTCACTGATGTGATAAGGGCGGAGTCAGTGCTGTGATAAGGGAGGTGTCACTGATGTGATAAGGGCGGAGTCAGTGCTGTGATAAGGGAGGTGTCACTGATGTGATAAGGGCGGAGTCAGTGCTGTGATGAGGGCGGAGTCAGTGCTGTGATGGGGGCGGAGTCAGTGCTGTGATAAGGGCGGAGTCACTGCTGTGATAAGGGCGGAGTCAGTGCTGTGATAAGGGAGGTGTCACTGATGTGATAAGGGCGGAGTCAGTGCTGTGATAAGGGCGGAGTCAGTGCTGTGATAAGGGCGGAGTCAGTGCTGTGATAAGGGAGGTGTCACTGATGTGATAAGGGCGGAGTCAGTGCTGTGATAAGGGCGGAGTCACTGATGTGATAAGGGCGGAGTCAGTGCTGTGATAAGGGTGGAGTCACTGCTGTGATAAGGGCGGATTCAGTGCTGTGATAAGGGCGGAGTCAGTGCTATGATAAGGGCGGAGTCAGTGCTGTGATAAGGGCGGAGTCAGTGCTGTGATAAGGGTGGAGTCACTGGTGTGATAAGGGCGGAGACAGTGCTGTGATAAGGGTGGAGTCACTGCTGTGATAAGGGCGGAGTCAGTGCTGTGATAAGGGTCGAGTCAGTGCTGTGATAAGGGAGGTGTCACTGGTATGATAAGGGCGGAGTCAGTGCTGTGATAAGGGCGGAGTCACTGCTGTGATAAGGGCGGAGTCAGTGCTGTAAGAAACAATTTGAGGTAAATATCAGGCACTTCCTTCAGCACAGATGAGAAGGATGGAATACTTACAAGAGAAGACTAGTGCGCCACCTGCTGGCTGAAAATAAAAGCACAGTCTTCCCCTGGATGCGTCCTGTGGATGTGATTGATGAAGGAGGGATACGCACAGTATATATATATATACAGGGAGATACAAATGTCCATTTTATTTTTAGTTTTGTTTGGAAAAAATAAAGAAATAACATTTGTAGAATTGCTGCTTCACCTGATGTGTTGTCCTTTGTCCTGCAGTGTGCATGTCAGGGACCCAGCGGGGGATGGGAAGGGGGGGTCATTGTTCTATAGAGGGGGTGATGACAGAATGTACAAAGGGTCTGTCCAGGAGTGACACACAGAGATTGGTGCAGCGGCCCTATTGGTCAGTGAAAACACCCATTATGCTAAGGAACCAATAGGGAGGATTGGGCAATTGTAGGAGGTGGGAATGGGTGTGGTCAGGATGTGGCTTCACTGAAGGAGGTCTCCGGATACTTCATTGTATACTGAGAGGGGACAGCCCAGGATTGTGACAAGCCAGCCCCTCCCTTCTGTGACTCCATCGTCCACAGCCCCTCCCCTTCTGTGACTCCATCGTCCACAGCCCCTCCCCTTCTGTGTACCCATCATCGCCAGCCCCTCCCCTTCTGTGTACCCATCTTCCACGGTCCCCTCCCCTTCTGTGTACCCATCTTCCACGGTCCCCTCCCCTTCTGTGTACCCATCTTCCACGGTCCCCTCCCCTTCTGTGTACCCATCATCCACGGTCCCCTCCCCTTCTGTGTACCCATCTTCCACGGTCCCCTCCCCTTCTGTGTACCCATCTTCCACGGTCCCCTCCCTTCTGTGTACCCATCATCCGTGGTCCCCTCCCCTTCTGTGTACCCATCTTCCACAGTCCCCTCCCCTTCTGTGTACCCATCATCCGTGGTCCCCTCCCCTTCTGTGTACCCATCTTCCACGGTCCCCTCCCCTTCTGTGTACCCATCATCCCCAGCCCCCCCCCCTTCTGTGTACCCATCTTCCACAGTCCCCTCCCCTTCGGTGCACCTATACTTTTCAATCCCCTCCCCAAAGTGCCTTCATCTTTCTCAGTCTCTTCCCCAACAATTTTCCTTTCTCAGAACCCTCCCCTGCAGTGCATCTATCCTTCTCAGAACCCTCCCCTGCAGTGCATCTATCCTTCTCAGAACCCTCCCCTGCAGTGCATCTATCCTTCTCAGAACCCTCCCCTGCAGTGCACCTATCCTTCTCAGAACTCCCCAGCAGTGCTCCTATCCTTCTCAGAACTCCCCAGCAGTGCACCTATCCTTCTCAGAACTCCCCAGCAGTGCACCTATCCTTCTCAGAACTCCCCAGCAGTGCACCTATCCTCAGAACCCTCCCCAGCAGTGCACCTATCCTTCTCAGAACCCTCCCCTGCAGTGCATCTATCCTTCTCAGAACTCCCCAGCAGTGCACCTATCCTTCTCAGAACCCTCCCCTGCAGTGCACCTATCCTTCTCAGAACTCCCCAGCAGTGCACCTATCCTTCTCAGAACCCTCCCCAGCAGTGCACCTATCCTTCTCAGAACCCTCCCCTGCAGTGCACCTACCCTTCTCAGAACCCTGCAGTGCACCTATCATTCTTACAACCCTCCCCTGCAGTGCACCTATCCTTCTCAGAACCCTCCCCAGCAGTGCACCTATCCTTCTTACAGCCCTCCCCTGCAGTGCACCTATCCTTCTTACAGCCCTCCCCTGCAGTGCACCTATCCTTCTTACAGCCCTCCCCTGCAGTGCACCTATCCTTCTCAGAATCCTGCAGTGCACCTATCCTTCTTACAACTCCCCCCTGCAGTGCACCTATCCTTCTCAGAACCCTCCCCAGCAGTGCACCTATCCTTCTCAGAACCCTGCAGTGCACCTATTATTCTTAGAACCCTCCCCTGCAGTGCACCTATCTTTCTCAGAACCCTCCCCTGCAGTACACTTTCCTTCTCAGAACCCTCCCCTGCAGTACACTTTCCTTCTCAGAACTATCCCCTGCAGTGCACCTATCCTGCTCAGAACCCTCCCCAGCAGTGCATCTATCCTTCTCAGAACTATCCCCTGCAGTGCACCTATCCTTCTCAGAACCCTCCCCTGCAGTGCACCTATCCTGCTCAGAACCCTCCCCTGCAGTGCACCTATCCTTCTCAGAACCCTCCCCTGCAGTGCACCTATCCTGCTCAGAACCCTCCCCTGCAGTGCACCTATCCTTCTCAGAACCCTCCCCTGCAGTGCACCTATCCTTCTCAGAACCCTCCCCAGCAGTGCACCTATCCTTCTCAGAACTCCCCAGCAGTGCACCTATCCTTCTCAGAACCCTCCCCAGCAGTGCATCTATCCTTCTCAGAACCCTCCCCTGCAGTGCACCTATCCTTCTCAGAACCCTCCCCTGCAGTGCACCTATCCTTCTCAGAACCCTCCCCTGCAGTGCACCTATCCTTCTCAGAACCCCTCCCCAGCAGTGCACCTATCCTTCTCAGAACTCCCCAGCAGTGCACCTATCCTTCTCAGAACCCTCCCCAGCAGTGCATCTATCCTTCTCAGAACCCTCCCCTGCAGTGCACCTATCCTTCTCAGAACCCTGCAGTGCGCCTATCATTCTTACAACCCTCCCCTGCAGTGCACCTATCTTTCTCAGAACCCTCCGCTGCAGTGCACTTTCCTTCTCAGAACCCTCCCCAGCAGTGCACCTATCCTTCTCAGAACCCTCCCCAGCAGTGCACCTATCCTTCTCAGAACTATCCCCTGCAGTGCACCTATCCTTCTCAGAACCCTCCCCTGCAGTGTACCTATCCTTCTCAGAACTATCCCCTGCAGTGCACCTATCCTTCTCAGAACCCTCCCCTGCAGTGCACCTATCCTTCTCAGAACCCTCCCCTGCAGTGCACCTATCCTTCTCAGAACCCTCCCCTGCAGTGCACCTATCCTTCTCAGAACCCTCCCCTGCAGTGCCGGGAGAAGGCCATATAGCGTTCAGGGTGAAGATGCTAAACAGTGTCCCCCCAAGATGTATGAGTGTTGTGTGTGTTAGTAAAATTCTCCCCCCACTTCATAGGTTTAACCCCGAAGCATGAATTTCCTTTGAAAGCCAAATTCCCCAAAACAAAAATTCCCCTCTTCCCAGAACAGATCCCACCCCCTCACTGCACTCTCCAACCCTGCATACGTCTATGTCACCCATCCCCCCCCCAACTCAAATCCTCCCCTTACCCAAATTCTCCTCACACAAACCCTCTACTCCTCAAATTTCCCCTCTGAGCACAAATCCCCCTTAATCATCCCTACTAGCATAAATCCCCCCCCAGCACAAATCCCCCTTAATCATCCCTACTAGCATAAATCCCCCCCCAGCACAAATCCCCCTTAATCATCCCTACTAGCATAACCCCCCCAGCACAAATCCCCATAAATTACCCTTCCTAGTGATTCCCACCGAATCACCCCCAGCACAGATCCTCTCCCCCACAAATTTCCCCTCTTAGAATATACCCCCCCCCCCAGATTTCCCCCTCCCAGCAAAAAACCACAGGGCACCCTATTAAACAAAGGTTTATTTCAGTCCTTTAACATGTCCCTCCCCCCTTCACCCCGCTTCCAGATGTGGATGTAATGAGCCCCTTCTTCCCCACCCTATGATGTAAGAACTCTCACCTTTTATGTCATGTTTTATGGCAGATTATTTCATCCTACTGACATCAACAATGGGCACAGCGGGGGTACAGACCTGGGAACTCAGCACAGGGATGGTGGGAACCCCTCATAATGGGCACAGCGAGTGTACATACCTGGGAACTCAGCACAGGGATGGAAGGAACCCCTCATAATTGGCACAGCGGGTGTGCAGACCTGGGAACTCAGCACAGGGATGGTGGGAACCCCTCATAATGGGCACAGCGGGTGTACATACCTGGGAACTCAGCACAGGGATGGCGGGAACTCCTAATAATGGGCACAGCAGGAGTACAGAAGCGGGAACTCGGCACAGGAATGGTGGGAACTCCTCATAATGGGCACAGAGGGTATACAGACAAGGGAACTCACCATCCTTGTACCGAGTTCTCAGGTCTGTACCCCCACTGTGCCCATTATGAGGGGTTCCCACCATCCCTGTGCCGAGTTCTCAGGTCTGTACCCCCACTGTGGCCATTATGAAGGGTTCCCACCATCCCTGTGCCGAGTTCTCAGGTCTGTACCCCCACTGTGGCCATTATGAGGGGTTCCCACCATCCCTGTGCTGAGTCCCCGGGTCTGTACACCCACTGTGCCTATTATGAGGGGTTCCCACCATCCCTGTGCTGAGTTCCCGAATCTGTACACCCGCCGTGCCCATTATGAGCGGTTATCACCATCCCTGTGCTGAGTGAGTTCTCTGGTTTGTACAGTGAGTCCATTGTTCTTCTGAGCCCCAAAATAAATCTCTCCTGCTGGCATGACTGACATTAGTATTGTGGTGTAGCATCAATTGTACACGATCCAATCATTGATCAGCGCTGTGAGATTCCCCTCCTCCATGCATCTTGTGTAGTGCACTCCATGTGGATCTGATTTCAGTATAGGGATGAATCTAGTCATCTTCTCCGGTGATCTCCAGGTGGATGAGGTGACCTCCATTTGTGGCTCCACCTCCCATCCATCATGCATGTTAGTTCCAGCCATTGGGTGTGGAGATGATTGGCCCCAGCTGGGAGTATTAGTGGTTAGTGGGCGGGGTATAAAGGACGGCTCTCTTCTCCTCTCTCATTGTGGTGCCTCCTATGGACAGGATGGGGTTTCTGGTGAAGGGGTAGTTGGGTGATGGTCTCGCTCTGGTGTATTGGTCAGAGTTTGGCTGTGATGGAGCCTTGGTGAGACATGGCCGCCAGTCAGATTGGTGGAGGAACTACCAGCGGGCTCTGCCTGGCCAGGGCTCTTCTAGATGGGGCTCCAGAGAGTGGAATGCCCATCCTTCAGTTGTGGGGGTTGGGGCTCCTAGAGGTGGAACTTCTATGGGTGGTGTTCCATGGGGTTCACCTGCTGGACGTGTTGGTGGAGTTAGAGATATTCAGCGTGTGAGCTCCCCTATCAGCATCCAGTGTGGAGAGGACAACATGGTGCTCAATGTCCAGAGGGATTTCTATGGGATTGGGAAGCTGATCCAACCTTCTGATCTGAGTCTGGGGTCCCGAGGCTGCAAACCCAACTCCCAAAGTGACTCCATGATTACCTTCCAGATCAACCTCCAGGACTGTGGCAACACTGTGCAGGTAATCTTCAATGGTACCCCTGTGTCCATGTAATAGAATAGAGCTGTCCCTCCATGGTCTTCACCTCCCGCGGGTCCATGTAATAGAATAGCTGGCCCTCCATGGTCTTCACCTCCTGCGGGTCCATGTAATAGAAAGCTGATGTCCCTCCATGGTCTTCACCTCCCGTGGGTCCATGTAATAGAATAGATGTCCCCCTCCATGGTCTTCACCTCTTTCCCGCGGTCCATGTCTCCATGGTCTTCACCCACCTTGTCACCCTTGTACTGCAGGTCTTGTCCAAATGACTATGTAGCTGATTTGCCATTGAGATGAACTTTCTCCCTGTGTGTGTCGTCTTCACCTCCACCTACAGGTCCATGGCTGGCCTTCACCTACCTTTTTTTTTCTGGCTTCACTCACCTGGTTCCTGTACTGCAGGCTGTCTCCTAATGATTGTGTATCTATGTTCCATTGAGATGGACTTTCTCCCATGGTTGTCCTATCCCTCTTTCCCCCTCTAATTTTTGGAGATGACATTTTCTGCATGTAGAACCCTAACTATTGGTTCCACTGTCTGGTGGTCTTATTAACCCCTGTATTGGTGTAAGGTGCAGTAGCACTTTTAGGACACCCCAAATTTTTTGAATGGAGTATGGGAAGGTTAGAATCTGTTGGGTAGCTTTTCCATCTATGTCCTATTGGGGAGATTTTCTCTCCACTCCCCTCACATATGTAAAACAGGAAGTGGGGAAGTCCATGGTTGTCACCAGAACAAGTATCCCTGTAGGATACAAAAAAAACCTGATGGAGGTTCTGCCCCACTGCACTCACTTTCCTTAAGTAACGCACAGGTCTTATGGGAGTGCTGTCACTCTAAAAAGCTACCAGCAAGCGGGTGTTTACTTGCTGCATGCTTGTTTTGGGTCAGTCATTAGTAGCCCTAAAATTAAACCGTATAATATGTAGTTGGGTAAGTCTCCCCTGTTCATTATTTGCTGGAAGGGTAGAGACAAACATTGTGTATGTGATTTAAGCCAAAGAGAACCTGTCATGCAGTAAGGGGTCTGCTGTTGCTAACCTGAGAAGCTTGTGAATCCTGCAAGGCAAATCCTTACCTGCTTGGTGCCTGGTCTTAGAAATAGGTCAAACAGTGCTGGTGGTGCCTGGTCTCAGACTTTTTGGTGGTTTTGTACCTGCTCTTACATGGGTTAAAAGTTGCTTGTTGCCCATCCTTCTCAGAAATGGGTCAAACATGCGGGTTCAGTGTCTGATCTGTGAAATGGGTCAAACAGTGGCTTCATGCCTGGTCTTAGTTTGGTGGCTTGGTGCCTGGTCTTTTCACACATGGGTTAAAAATGACAGCTTGCTGTCTGGTCTCAAATGGGCCAAACAATGGCAGATTCCCATTATGGTAGCCTGTTTTCACTTTTTTTTTTTTCTTCCCTCTGCACAGATGATTCGAGACTGGGTGATCTACACCACCAACCTGACGTACAGCCCAACCTCCTCCATCCCAATCATCAGAACCAACCCAGCTGTGGTCCCCATAATGTGCTTCTACTACCGGTGAGTCAACACTGCTGGATGAGCCTACACTAGAGCACCATGCAGGTCCCAGGATATGTTCAGCATCTGGTCAATATCTTTGGACAGTGTGAGGTTGAACCCTTTGTTGGGATTTATCCTGCCATATGTCCATGCCAAGATTTCCATGTATGTCCTTTTCTGTGTCCCCCTCCTAGGTAACTAGGGGGAGCCAAGTTAATTCTTAAAAGGCTGAGTAGCAGCCAGGGAGAAAGGAAAGGTATAATTTGGGTCAGGGCTGAGAGGCTCTGAAGATCAGCTCTCAAACTTCCCCTCTGATCTAGGGACTTGGAATACTCTCCTGAATTTAGTGTGTGTGTCAGTGGGGGGGGGGGGGGGGGGAGGAGGGAGCTGTCTGTGATCTCAAGGGATCCTGGCCAATCCCCAAACAGGAGGCTTGACATAGGGGTCAATACAGCCCTTAAGAGTGACCAAGCTGCTCAGTAACAGGGAGAGTTTGGATGGAAGATGGAGAGGGTCCTGCCTACCAGCAGAGGAGTTGGAAGGGAGGATCTCTCAGCTTCCTCATCCCTGAGGACAGCCTGGGAAGCTGCCAGCCCAGCTTAAGGCAGCCACCAACATAGCCGCTCAGGAGAGACTGAGTAAACCCCACACCCCTGGGCCAGATAAGGGGAGAGGGCATTTGGGTGGGAAACCTGACTAGCCCCCATCTGGGACTGCTTTCATCTAAAGTGGCAGCTTCTGGGTCCTCTTGCCCAGGGATTCCCTCAGGCAGCTGGGTGAATAATTTCATCTGGGGTCTTAGGTGGTATGCAGGGAGAGGCTGGATAGCTCTCCAAGAGGAGAACCCTTCTGAGCACTTGTACATAGTTCCAGGAAGTTGTCCTCAGTTTTTGCAGTTCCTTGGGCATCCCATGCATTCTCATCCCCTCAAGTTTCAATCCCAAAAAAAAAAAGTTCAAAAACTGTTTGCAGTCTTTGGGTGTGAGGCTGGAAGGAAATGTCGTCTAGTGCTTCAGGACTATAAGGGGACCCAAATCTTTGACTCAAGGGGGTAGTGCTACACCTAGTTGGGTTGCACTGGCAGTCCACTTTAACATTATGGGCTCAACAGATGGCTTTAGGTACACCTTGGCTAGCTGCTCTTGACATCTATTGACTTTTGTCCTGTGACTGCAACCTGACCCTTCTACTGCAGTGATGACCAATTTCCTCTTGCTAAGAATGTATTCATGGGAGGATCAGCTTTGACAATGATAGGATTGCTTAAGTTTCTTCATGTTGGAGAACCTCATGGTAAAGATGGGGCTCCCTCTTATTGTCCCTGGAATTTAAAATGTCATCTTTAGCAATGTTGGGGTGATCATGAAGATATCGGCCTAACCAGGTTTGAAAGGGAACTAGGGACAATATGGCAGTTGCTCATGGTCACTCTAGAGATGCAGGCCTCAGGAATGTTGTCCCAATTATGGCTTCACTATCGCTTCATTTTGTCACTGTCCTTCAAGGAATCAACCAGACAGCCTTCCTTTAACTTGTTGGATTGTGTAGCTGTAACCAGGATGACAACCCTCAGCCAAGTCAGTGATGGACAGGACATGTATAGGACTTTGTGACACTAAATGACTCATTACTGACCATGATTGGGTTCTATGTAGGCACGGTAATGTGAGCAGCCAAGCCATTAAGCCAACCTGGGTTCCGTTCAGCACCACTGTGTCCTCAGAAGAAAGGCTGTCCTTCTCTTTGGTCCTGATGACTGGTGAGGAATATGGGTGATTGGAAGGGAGGGGGGATGGTTTTACATTTACTAATCCCTTTTTCTTCTGTATAGAGGACTGGAGTGGTCCCAGAGTTCTCCCATCTACCAGCTTGGAGATAGTATCCACATACAGGCCTCTGTGGATACTCAGAACCAAATTGCCATGATCGTGTATGTTGACCGATGTGTGGCCACCATATCTCCTGATGCCACCTCTTCTCCAAGTTATGACCTTATTTCAGACAATGGGTATGTTCCTTCAGTGGGGGGGGGGGGGGGGGGCTTGCCATATGACCCAGTTTAAGTGACCATTTTTCTGCAGCTGTCTGGTGGATGGAACACAAGCTGACTCCTCCTCAGCCTTCATCATTCCAAGGGTCCAGTCAAACACTCTACAGTTCACGGTGGATGCCTTTCGATTCCTAGGAAATGATGCATCTCTGGTGAGCACTCTCTGAATATTTCTACAAGGCCCTGATCTGTGCAACCAATTCAACCTATTAAAACCTTCTTCTTCCAGATCTATATAACCTGTTACCTGAGAGCTGCTGCTGCCACCCAGGTTCCTGATCCCATGAACAAGGCCTGTTCCTATAGCAAAGCTGCAAACAGGTGAGACTCTTCAATGGTGGTTGGGGGTCCATGGATTACTGCTCTTCATAGCATCTTGTCTGTGTAATGGAGATCACATCTGCATGGATCTAGTAACCAGTGACTGGAGCAAACCTTGTGCACAATACAACATGGTGGATTCCTGAAACTATCTAAATGGAATGGTGCACAGGCATTATTTTGGGGCCCTTCCCATACCATGTGCACTGGTTACATGACTGGCTGGGACAAGTAACTGCTTGGGCCAATGGTTGGCCTTAAAGCTCTTCAGTACCAGCATGATCAGTTATGGCTATGGTGATCCTAAATCTCAGACACTGGTCAGCTCCAGGGGACCCCCCCCCCCCCCCCCAGCATGTAGAACCTTCTATTTGGGAAGGAATACCAGATTTGGTTTCAAATACCCTTAAACCCCAGACTGTACTTCAATCCCCCCATTATGTGCTCCTAGTAGACACTTGGTACTGTAGCTTAATGTGCCCTATTGCATCAGGAGGGATTGGCCCCAAGTCCTTTCAACATGAGGTAAATGTCGAAGTACCCAACAGTTTGTCTTCATGCTTCCAGTACATCTTCTAAAACCCAGGCTGTGACACTGACATTGGCTTGTCTTCTCTAGCTGGTCTGCAGTTGAGGGCCCCAGCAGTATCTGTCAGTGTTGTGGGACACCAGGCACCTGCAGAAACCCTACTGGCCCAACAGGAGGAAGGAGCCAATTTAGAAGACCAAGAGCCTTTGGGAAGAGGGAAGCCTTGGATGGTGAGTTCTTAACATGAGGCTGCTGTACACAATGGTATGGCCTTGGGTGATCACTGGATCAAAGGGGCTCTGGGGGGATGTGCTGAGAAACTGATTGCTACTATTACAGGAAATCTCTCATGGTACACATATGTGGGGGAATACCCCCTTGGCCTGGACAGGGGGACTCCACCACCCTACCCAGGGGAGGGTGGGGTGCACTGGTGATTTGGCAGCTTGTGGTGGGGGCCTCTGACTGTAGTAACTGCAGGGTCAGTCTCAGAAGGGATCAGTATCTGGTTTTTGGGAGAAGATTTGCACTTTCTGATCCTTCTGCAGGGGGCTGAATAGAGCCAGCCCTCTGTCTTTAGTCCATTAACTGCAGGGTCAGATGTCAGAACACAGGGGCAATGCATGGAAGGCTAGGTTCTGATGGAGAGGATTTGTCTTTGTCCCTATAGACTGCCTGAATAGAGCCCAGCCCTCGTCTTTAGTCCAGGGGATGATGCCATTTCAAGAAGGCCCTGCAAGTGACCAGGGATGTGAGGAACACAGGTGGCAATGCATGGAAGGCTAGAAACCCTGATGGCTTCATCATTACTGTTGTGCCCCTCCCCTGGTCCCCATAACTAGAATTTTTTTTATTGGTCCCATAAGGAATAAATTTTTATTGGTGAACATGGCAATCTAAAACCCTCAAGATCTACAGTAGGCTTCACCTCTCCACACTGATGTAGAGTAACATTTCCATTGTAGAGATGTCACCTGACCCAATCTGCTTCTCCCACAGAACCAAACATGGAAGAGGAACAATCGGTGACTTCTCTGGGACCTCTGCTTGTGATTGGGCCACAACAAAGTGACATCACAGCTGCAGTGAAGGAGGGGCCTGCCCCCACAGAGCTCTGGTGGTTGGTGGCTGTGGGATGTCTCAGTCTTCTAGTAGTTGCTGTGTGCACGGTGCTCATCGTGAAGTCTCTGAAAAAGCCGCAATGTGTACTGTCTGTGCAAAAATAAAGACCTTCTCATTTAATCTGATCTCTTGCTTATTTATATAGGTGGCAATGTTATAAAGTTGTTGTGGATTCCTAACATCTAGGGGGGGGGGGGGGGGGGGTCTCAATGTTCCAATACACATCAGGGGACAGAAGTTGAGGTCAGGTGTATGGGGCCACAAGGGCACCATGGAGGATAAAGGTGACAGGTTTGGTTCAGGGCTACAGCTCTCCCCTGGCTGGAGGGAGTAGTGCAACATAACTTCCAGCCCAGCAGTAGGAAGTAAGTGACTGAAGAGGACAATGTTTCTGTAGTCCAGCACCTGGTTACAGTAAAACAAACTCGAACCACTAATGTACTGCACCACCAAACAGTGGTGGGGAAACACCATGGGGGGGGGGGGGGGGGTTTATTATTGAAATGGTTCTACCCTCCATGGCCAATATAGGCACAGAAGAGTGTTGGCCCTTCACCAGTCAGACTACATTGTATTTTGGCAATTGCTCAGTGGCCAGTGCCCAAGGTGACGAGTAAGGATGGATGACTGATTAGTGTGTCCTCCTAGTTCCAGTGAAGGACTCTTAAGGTGACAATTTCCTGCTCCCACCTTTGTGGGAAGAGTTTGGGGATGGCCCCTTCCTGTTACAACATGACTGCGCACCAGTGCAGGGGTGTCTACTGTGAGGCACCTGCCTTTTGGCGGCATTATTCAGGGGGCAAATGTACAATCCAACGCACATGTTCCTGCATTGAAAGTGGGTGCTGCAGTGACCACTGGCTGGAACAAAATCAGTGAGGGAGATGCTTCATGCTGCCAAACAAGCCTACTTTGACCACAGACTGCGGGACACGGTGCGGGAGACGACCACAGACTGCGGGACACGGTGCGGGAGACGACCACAGACTGCGGGACACGGTGCGGGAGACGACCACAGACTGCGGGACACGGTGCGGGAGACGACCACAGACTGCGGGAGACGACCACAGACTGCGGGACACGGTGCGGGAGACGACCACAGACTGCGGGACACGGTGCGGGAGACGACCACAGACTGCGGGACACGGTGCGGGAGACGACCACAGACTGCGGGACACGGTGCGGGACACGACCACAGACTGCGGGACACGGTGCGGGACACGACCACAGACTGCGGGACACGACCACAGACTGCGGGAGACGACCACAGACTGCGGGAGACGACCACAGACTGCGGGAGACGACCACAGACTGCGGGAGACGACCACAGACTGCGGGACACGGTGCGGGAGACGACCAGGATCTGATGGTTCCCGTAGTCCTGGACTGTCTTTCTATTTGCATCTACTGCTCCATGGATCCCACTGCCCCGGATCACTCATAATGCACTCTAGGGAAATTCTTTAACGCTGACCGCCCCCTCTATGGGGGTACATGGGGAGTACACGCCGCCGGCCCCCTCTATGGGGGGGGGTACACGCCGCCGGCCCCCTCTATGGGGGGGGGGTACACGCCGCCGGCCCCCTCTATGGGGGGGGGTACACGCCACCGGCCCCCTCTATGGGGGGGGGGTACACGCCGCCGGCCCCCTCTATGGGGGGGGGGTACACGCTGCCGGCCCCCTCTATGGGGGGGTACACGCCGCCGGCCCCCTCTATGGGGGGGGGTACATGCCGCTGGCCCCCCTCTATGGGTGGTACATGGGGAGTACACGCCGCCGGCCCCCTCTATGGGGGGGGTACACGCCGCCGGCCCCCTCTATGGGGGGGGGTACACGCCGCCGGCCCCCTCTATGGGGGGGGTACATGCCGCCGGCCCCCTCTATGGGGGGGGTACACGCCGCCGGCCCCCTCTATGGGGGGGGGGTACATGCTGAGTACACTGCGGAGTCCCTGTGGAGTGCAGATTATAAAGGTTTTTTCTGCTCACTGCATTTCTAATAAATGGTCACTAGGTGGCAGTAAAGGTGTACAGACCTCTCCATGGCAGTACTGGTAGATCGGCTGTTTTTCCCACCTTCTTCCACTCGGGGGCGCCCCTATCAAAGCATTTTCAGCCCTGAGGCCACAGCATGTATTCATGATGTGGTAATGCTGAGTTTAGGGAGTGAAAACAGGTGGTGAGGAGGCAAAATAATGTCTCTTCACCGGCTGTCAAATGCCTCCGAAAGGTGATCTGATCATGGATTGCTTTTCAGATGAGGGGTAGTCCTGGTTGCTGTTACGAACCGGCCCCGAAAAGTAGTTCTGATTGTGCATGGAGTGAGGGGCAGGAATAAAAATCACATACAGACTTATATATATATATATATATCTCCACACGGCTCAAACAATGGAAGGAAGACTTGGTAATACGAGTCGCATGAAGTCCATGAACCTCCTGGGATGTGGATCTGGTCAGGGAAGTCGCAGGGGATCTGGTCAGGTAAGTCGCAGAGGATCTGGTCAGGGAAGTCGCAGGGGATCTGGTCAGGGAAGTCACAGGGGGGGTTGTTCATCAGTTTCAGCTGCTTTGGTGTTCATGAAATTAACAGGTGCACTAGATGGGCAACAATGAGACGACCCCCAAAACAGGAATGGTTTTACAGGAGGAAGCCACTGACATTTCTCCCTCCTCATCTTCCCTGACTGTCTCTCACTGGTTTTGCATTTGTCTCGGGTCAGTGTCACTACTGGTACCATGAGGCCGTACCTGGACCCTACAGAGGTTGCACAGGCAGTCCAACTCCTCCAGGATGGCACATCAATACGGACCATTGCCAGGTTTGCTGTGTCTCCCAGCACACTCTCTAGAGCATGGAGGAGGTTCCGGGAGACGAGAGCGCGGAGGGGATTCCGGGAGACGAAAGCGCGGAGGAGATTCCAGGAGACGAGAGCGTGGAGGAGATTCCGGGAGACGAGAGCGCGGAGGGGATTCCGGGAGACGAGAGCACGGAGGAGATTACGGGAGACGAGAGCGCGTAGGAGATTACGGGAGACGAGAGCGCGGAGGGGATTCCGGGAGACGAGAGCGCGGAGGAGATTACGGAGACAAGAGCGCGGAGGGGATTCTGGGAGACGAGAGCGCGGAGGAGATTACGGGAGACGAGAGCGCGGAGGGGATTCCGGGAGACGAGAGCGCGGAGGGGATTCCGGGAGACGAGAGCGCGGAGGGGATTCCGGGAGACGAGAGCGCGGAGGGGATTCCGGGAGACGAGAGCGCGGAGGAGATTCCGGGAGACGAGAGCGCGGAGGAGGTTCCGGGAGACGAGAGCGCGGAGGAGATTCCGGGAGACGAGAGCGCGGAGGGGATTCCGGGAGACGAGAGCGCGGAGGAGATTCCGGGAGACGAGAGCGCGGAGGAGATTCCGGGAGACGAGAGCGCGGAGGAGATTACGGGAGACGAGAGCGCGGAGGAGATTACGGGAGACGAGAGCGCGGAGGAGATTCCGGGAGACGAGAGCGCGGAGGAGATTCCGGGAGACGAGAGCGCGGAGGAGATTCCGGGAGACGAGAGCGCGGAGGAGATTCCGGGAGACGAAAGCGCGGAGGAGATTACGGGAGACGAGAGCACGGAGGAGATTCCGGGAGACGAGAGCGCGGAGGGGATTCCGGGAGACGAGAGCGTGGAGGAGATTCCGGGAGACGAAAGCGCGGAGGAGATTCCGGGAGACGAGAGCGCGGAGGAGATTCCGGGAGACGAGAGCGCGGAGGGGATTCCGGGAGACGAGAGCGCGGAAGGGATTCCGGGAGACGAGAGCACGGAGGAGATTCCGGGAGACGAGAGCGCGGAGGGGATTCCGGGGAGACGAGAGCACGGAGGAGATTCCGGGAGACGAGAGCGCGGAGGAGGTTCCGGGGAGACGAGAGCGCGGAGGGGATTCCGGGAGACGAGAGCGCGGAGGGGATTCCGGGAGACGAGAGCGTGGAGGAGATTCCGGGAGACGAAAGCGCGGAGGAGATTCTGGGAGATGAGAGCGCGGAGGGGATTCCGGGAGACGAGAGCGCGGAAGGGATTCCGGGAGACGAGAGCACGGAGGAGATTCCGGGAGACGAGAGCGCGGAGGGGATTCCGGGAGACGAGAGCACGGAGGAGGTTCCGGGAGACGAGAGCGCGGAGGAGGTTCCGGGAGACGAGAGCGCGGAGGGGATTCCGGGAGACGAAAGCGCGGAGGAGATTACGGGAGACGAGAGCACGGAGGAGATTCCGGGAGACGAGAGCGCGGAGGAGATTCCGGGAGACGAGAGCGCGGAGGGGATTCCGGGAGACGAGAGCACGGAGGAGATTACGGGAGACGAGAGCGCGTAGGAGATTACGGGAGACGAGAGCGCGGAGGGGATTCCGGGAGACGAGAGCGCGGAGGAGATTACGGAGACAAGAGCGCGGAGGGGATTCCGGGAGACGAGAGCGCGGAGGAGATTACGGGAGACGAGAGCGCGGAGGGGATTCCGGGGAGACGAGAGCGCGGAGGGGATTCCGGGAGACGAGAGCGCGGAGGGGATTCCGGGAGACGAGAGCGCGGAGGGGATTCCGGGAGACGAGAGCGCGGAGGAGGTTCCGGGAGACGAGAGCGCGGAGGAGGTTCCGGGAGACGAGAGCGCGGAGGGGATTCCGGGAGACGAGAGCGCGGAGGGGATTCCGGGAGACGAGAGCGCGGAGGAGATTCCGGGAGACGAGAGCGCGGAGGAGATTCCGGGAGACGAGAGCGCGGAGGAGATTACGGGAGACGAGAGCGCGGAGGAGATTACGGGAGACGAGAGCGCGGAGGAGATTCCGGGAGACGAGAGCGCGGAGGAGATTCCGGGAGACGAGAGCGCGGAGGAGATTCCGGGAGACGAGAGCGCGGAGGAGATTCCGGGAGACGAGAGCGCGGAGGAGATTCCGGGAGACGAGAGCGCGGAGGGGATTCCGGGAGACGAGAGCGCGGAGGAGATTCCGGGAGACGAAAGCGCGGAGGAGATTACGGGAGACGAGAGCGCGGAGGGGATTCCGGGAGACGAGAGCGCGGAGGGGGGATTCCGGGAGACGAGAGCGCGGAAGGGATTCCGGGAGACGAGAGCACGGA